AAGTTAATCTTCCTCTTAATTGGTGCCATATAGAATCTGATTCTGTCCACACACACAAACACAGAAACCATAAACCCATATATATATATATATATATATATATATATATATATACACACACACACACATATATATATATATACACACACACACACACATATATATATATATATATATTATTCTTCACATTGCATTCGAATTTGTATTCTCGACTCTGGATCGATCTATCACATATAAAAAGGTTTATAGTTTATATCGCCGCTTTCATTATATTATTTTCCGAGATGAGTGGTGCTGGGTACCCATATCCACCACAATATCATCAAGGTAATTAACTTCTCTTTTTTAATTAATCTCAATTTATTATTGTTCATATATACTCGTTAATTAACTCAACCGATCTATACTAGCTAGCTCCGTTAGTTGCATGCGTGATTGATGTTTTACTCTCGCCGCTCCTGCATGCTCTTATTTATCCAGGGCCGCCGCCGGTGATGCTGCCGCCGCCTTATTACCCTGCCCAGCCTCCGCCGCGGAGAGAAGGGGGATTTTGTGAGGGGATGTAAGTGTACTACTACTCCATATATCCATCCCCTTTTTCAGTAACTAGAGTGTGTGCCTTTTTTTTCCTACAAAAATTATATGAATTCGCCCTATATAGAAATAAAGCATAGACAAATTACAAAGATACGTTTCATATTTTTATTTCCTGAGTGAGAATTCGCAACATAGTAATATAAATGAATTTCAACTCTTATTTCGAAAATAAAAACATGGAACCCTTATTTTGGTACATTTTTAATGTTTTACTACTTCATCCGTTTGCAAAAAGGCTTGCTATTTTGTCTTTGAGCCAAAATAAGGAAGTGTTAAATTATAGTTGACTTTCATATGTGATGAGTAAAAGTAAGATGTGATGTATAGATTATAAGAGAAAAAATATGACTTGATAAGTATGGTATAAAAAAGTAAGGGTAAAAGTGGTTTTTTAATAGAAAGTGGAAGTGTTTTATTGGAAGTGAAAAAAATGAAAAAGGAAGAGTTTTTGAAAACGGATGGAGTATTACTCCAGTCTTTTTCCCCAAAATCTAAAGACTTTTCGGCGGTTTAATGTTCTCTCTTTTTTTTCATTTGCATGGAGTAAATGAATAAGTAGATACTCTTTCCGGTTCTACAAATATTTTTTGTTTTAACTTTTTTTGGTCAAATGTGATATTTTTTTGACTACGAATTAAATATTATAAAAATTTGATATGTCAAAACCGTATTTTGAAATTAATCCAATTATATTAAATTTATATTATAATTAAATACTATGTATATTTTTCTCACAAATTATGATATGATCACAGTGTATCACCGTTTGATAAAAGCTAAGAATGTCGAAAAGGTTTTTAGGACGGGAGAAAATTATAAAACAATGAAATGAAAGTCTGATCTACTACTACTATATGTTGGATGTGTGCAGACTTGCTGCTTTGTGTTGTTGTTGCCTCATCGATGAGTGTTGTGGGGATCCCGGCTTCTTTTGTTTTTGGTGATGGATACATTTATTTTAACACCAGAGTTTGACACTATTTTGTACCACCAGACACATCAATCATGTACTATACTACTACTATATCGTACTTACCGTGACACTTTATGATCATAAATCAAATATAACTTAAATAAATAAATGTTACAAAAATTTGGTACGATGTATCAAAATTGTATACTAAGACGAACTCAATTAGATTAAATTTATATTATGACTGAATATACTTTTTACAGAATAATTTATGATAAAATAATATCATTGTTTGATCGGAAAAAATCCAAATGTTTGCAATAATTCACATATTATACTAGTGGTACGTTTGAGCGTTGAATTCATCCACTAGGTTGCCTAGATGGTGGTTTCGAACCATCAAAATAACTTTTGTTTTTAAAAGAGTTAAATTTATTTTTATTCCTTTTAAAATAATACATTTTGTTTTTTTGTTCCTGTAAAATATATTTTTTTGTTAAAGTCATCCTCTCAAAAAAAAATTAAAAAACGGTCCTTAAATGTAATTAACATGCACTTTATGACGTTTTACCGCGGCTCACCCCTACATCTTTCTTTCCATTTTGACGTTTTGTGGTAAATATTATAAATTTTGGCCACAAATTACAAAGGATATACAAATTAAATTTTGATACAATAGATTAATTTGAAATACAGTTTTGAAATATCATATTTTACAAAGTGTTGTATTAGAGATTGTAAAAAGTCAAATAAAATGAAAGAAAAAGGATGGAGGGATTATTATTATTATTCCATATGATTATTCCGTTATTATTATAAATTTTTTTATATATATTATGCTACGTTGTTTTTAAAATTTGTTATTATTAGGGAGGAGTGTATAACAAAGTAAAATCCAATACTGCTCAATTTTTTCTCATTTTGACTTGACATCTTTTAATATAAGATGAAAATATTTAACTTTCCATTTGTGTCCGGCGTGATATAAATTGAAGTAATATTTTTTATAAAAAAATAAAGATGAAGTAATCTTTTAATTACATAAAAATTGCATAAAATGAAAATAAAAAATACAATTCCATGTTTCGACCCAATAAAAACCCTAATTTTGCGGCCCAACAAAAAAAACCCAAATTAAAAACCCCGAAATTCAACATCATTTTCCCCACGATCTTCCACGTGTACAGCAATGTAGAATCTCGGACGTTCGTGACAGATGTCACGGTCAGCACCTCACCGCTGCCCGAAAACCAACTCCCACCGTCCGGTCCCCAAGAACGGCTACATCGACGGCCCAATCCCTGCCCGTAAAATTCCCGGTCAGATCTCCCCGCCTTTATAATGCTCGATCCCCTCCCGCATTCACTTGCACAAATCGGTTCGAAGTTCAAACCCTAGACACGACTTCTTACACCCTCTTCGAATTCAATTTCACAATCCGTATGCTCAAATATTTATACGGCGCGCGCGTATAAATACGTTCTTGGCCGGTTCTTGGGCGGAAGGTAGTGTTTTCCGGCGGGCGCCGTACATTTGGGCGGTTGGGATTCATGTTTCGACCTGCAATTGATGGCGGACGTGGCTTTGCGCGGCCGTGACGAACTGAATTGGACTCCAATTTGCGATTCTGCTGGTAAATTCATGGGGAAAGCCTCACACTCGCGAGCTCATTTGAACCCCAACGCCAATTCGAATCCCAAGAAGAAACAGAAACACTTGCAGCGGCCAGTTAACTGTTCCACCCACAATGATGACGCCTATTCCTTCAATCAGCCACCTAAGGGATCGAATGGGGTCAGTCTTGGTGGGAGCTATCTGACTTACAATGTCCAGTCGTACACGAAATCGGAGCTCGTTGAGGTTCGGATGAGACTGATGGCTGATCTTGAGCAGGTCCGGAACCTCAGAGATCGGATTGAGTCGGGTCAATTCAGCACCTGCACTACCAATCCAAGAACTCAAGGGAAGTCTAAGAAATTATCTGGGAATAGGGAGTTATCGAATGGTTATAGTGATATGAATGTTGGTGTCATTCGTGGTGACATAGGTGTAGTTGAGATGGAGAATATGATGAAGACTTGTAGGCAAATATTAGCGAAGCTAATGAAGCATAGACATGGCTGGGTTTTTAACACTCCAGTAGATGCAGAAGGACTGGGTCTTCCTGATTATCGCCAGATCATTAAGAGGCCAATGGATTTAGGGACTGTGAAATCCAATTTGCAAAAAAATCTTTATCCAACTCCAGTTGAATTTGCTGCTGATGTGAGGCTCACTTTTAATAATGCCTTGCTGTACAACCCGAAAACAGATGATGTTCATGGATGGGCTGACCTTCTTCTAACTAGATTTGAGGAGTTATTCAGACCTATAGAAGACAAGCTTTCCAAATTTGAGCCGGAAAGAAGGGTATTTCAGGGCAATGACGAGCTCCATAGCAGCTATTTGAATCACATTTCAGTGCCTGAGATTTCTAAGAAGCCATATGCTACTCCAATTCCTCAGGTTTTTAAGAAGCAAGAGATCTCACAAAGTCAAACCAGTGCTTCAACACATTCAGTTCCACCTCCTCATGTCCACCAGCAATCCCATGGGATGCCTGTTCCAGAGAGTGGGTCAATGGGAAAACAACCCAAGCCAAGGGCTAAAGATCTAAACAACAAGAGGGAGATGACTATGGATGAAAAACATAAACTTGGATTTGGGTTGCAGAATCTACCTGAAGAGAGGATGCCACAGTTGTTGCAAATTATAAGAAAGAGAAATGAGCATATGGCTCAAGATGGTGATGAAATTGAGCTGGACATTGAGGCTCTGGACACAGAAACACTCTGGGAGCTTGATCGCTTTGTAACCAATTGTAAAAAGGCAGAGAGCAAGACAAAAAGACAAGCTTTGGGTGATTATAATTCAACCCAGAATACATCCAATGCTGAGACTGATCAGGTAACACATTTTCTACCTCTTTTTTCTTACATCCTTGATGAGTATCTTCAAACAAAAATTAGACGCTCTGAAACCTTTTTTTAAATACTCCGTAGTCCGTACTAACTAGGATGTGTTCATCATCTTATTGTCTTGACATTCAGGGTCAATTTGGATGGGGAGTTTGAGATGGCTTAGTCTATATCTCTACAAATAAAAATAGAATATCTTGGAAATAAAATGTGTTTTAAAATGAATAAAGGGCTATTCAATTTTTTTATACTATGATCACATACTATGTTTCCTCAAGTCAAATCAATGAGTAAAGAGTTGAACTCATACTTACCTCAAACCTGATCAACTTGGATCCCTGTTTACCTTCATCACACACACACACACACATACAGTAAATGAAAAATGACCTAAAAGGTATAATATGATAATGAAAATTGCATTACTGGACCACTCAAAATCCTCTAAAAACCTCCATTAAAATAGAGAATAAGTGGCTTACATCTTAACTTGTTGGCAGGCTAATTTGGTGGGTAAGATTGATTCAGTGGAGAACCCTAGAGTGGTTGAATTTGGGGAAGAAGATATTGATATAGGTGATGATATACCTGCATCCAGCTTTGCCCCTGTTGAAATTGAGAAGGAAGATGTTGCTGCTGTCCGGGAGCATGACAACCATAGTAGTAGCTCTTCCAGTGATTCATCGTCATCTAGTGGTATTTACCCCTTTTAGAGCAGCTCTTCCAGTGATCACATGTTGCTGCCTTGTGGTTAGGAACACATTTCTTGGCACGAATTGTGATATTATTGATTATATTTACAGGTTCTGATTCAGGAAGTTCTTCAAGTAGTGATTCTGATCCCGATGATGCACAGTCTTGACTCTTCTACTCTGATCAGTCTTGTATTTGCAGCTTGAGCATTGTGTTTGCTTCACTATGTTGTTCCTTCACTAAGTATGTGTTATCCAACAAGGGTATGTATCAATGTGACTTATTCTTCTTAGGTAAAATTGGTCCTTCGCACATTATGCTTTACCCATGTCCAATTTTTTCATACCCAGAGCGAACCTATTAGACTTTGCACCCCACACTAGTTTTTGGACTCCATGCTAAAAAAGAAAATGGGTGCGAAGTCTAATATTGGGGCAAGACATGGCTGTATCGACCAATTTCACTTAGGCTCCGTTTGGTTCACGGAATTCAAGCTATGGAATTGGAATTAGAGACAATCATTCCAATTCCGCTGTTTGGTAGCACAAAAATATGCGGATTTGGAATTTGTAGTGCCAGAAATGAATTGGAATTGGAGAATTTATTTCCATCCAAATCAATTCCATAGAATTTCAATTCTCAGTTCAATTCCAATTCCGTGTCCCAAACGGACCCTTAATTTGCATGTGTATTAGTTGACTATTGTGACCAAGTGTTCTGACTTTCAATTTTGCAACTATATCAGATGAACTTTTCTCCAGGAGATGTAAGTGAGAGAACCCAATGTTTTGATTAGCCTTTACTGAGTTGAAGAACTTTGCAGCGCAGCTGGAGTGTGAAACAAGTGTATGGTTGGAGTAAAGCTCTATTGTATAATGAGAAGGAGTTTGTTGGTAACCNGTTAGGGAGTCTTCTTTTCACGTTGGAAATTTGCCCAACTGTGCTCTGCCTCACTTGTAGAAAAAAAATGGAAACATGTTAATTTGGACTGAAATCTATAGAGTTTTTGTACATGATGTATTGTCAAACAGTAATACTTCCTCTTGTCCGCAGAGTACTAAAATGGGATCCTAACAAGAGCACTTTAAAACTACGACCCTTTAAAATGTTAAAGTTAAGATTAGGACGTTAAAACTACGACCCTTTTAAAATGGAAAAGTAAAAATTAGGTTAAGAAGACCGGAAGAAGAAAATGGAGGTAGGAGGAGAGAAAAAGGTAAATATCGGTCGTGGCTATCGGCGTGTACACACCCTCCACGCCTAGTCCCAATCGTATTTTGCCACATACGTGGGTTCGGTCCTCCAAGGCCTGTTAGAGCTCTCTTCAACCTGCTCATGGCTAGATCAATCGGTTTCGTGTCAAATAGGAAGAGGGGGGTGTTACTGTGTGCCACATCGGCCACGCCGATGCCACACCGCACAACCTTAAGAAATAGGCATGGCAACCTAATTCTCAACCTATTTCTATCTCATACGGAGTATTTTTTATAGACATAGTGTTGAATATTTTTTCAAAATATTAAGAAGTTGGAAAGTGAGACGAGAGTTGGGGTGACTTCAACGCATTTCATACATGCACATAACAATCAATGTCTCTTCTTACTAGAGCCAAGAACCCGAAAAAATAATGCAGATTACATTTTTCTTGAGTAAAGAAAACGCTCCAGATTATAAAGAAAACGCTCCAAATTTCTATGGACCAACACCTTTCAAATAGACTAATACTTTCTTGATTGTTCAAATAACACTTTCTTTTTAATTTCATCCCAAAATGCAAGAGTAAATTCATCTACACCAAGGCAACATCATCCAAGTTTCAGAATCACCCTTTCAAAGAGAATGCACCTCAAATGTCAAGCAATTTTAAGCCACAAAACTTGGTAAGCTAGAATAAAAAAAGAATCTGCACTAATGTGCAAGTTCTAAACTGATAATGAAGTCCAAACATGGTTAACCAGAGTGCATGTTTAAGGCTAAACTAGAAGGTAGCATGACCAAAGCTTCACCTGCAATAGCTATAATAAAGCAAATAAGATGGTAAATTACATTATTATTCCAATCCACACTTTTTTTGTTCTGTGGAACTCAGCATCCTCCTGGCAAAGACTTGTATTGGATTGGGCAAAAGCAAAACTCAAACCAATGAAGAATATGAAAACCCCAAATGGCTTCTAAAGTTTAGATACAAAGTATTCCAGAAAATGGCAGACAAGAGAGGCATTTGAATGGGAGCCTCGTTATCTAGAAAAGAGAATAAGCAAATAGGGTAGATATTAAGTCTCAAAACTTTAAAAGCTAATGCGAGTATTATATGGGAATTCATCCACTCTACTTCTTGACTTCCTCGTAATCAGCCTCGGGGGCCTGTTCGCCGCCTTGGGCACCACCACTAGAGGCGGCACCACCAGACCCACCGCCACTCATGTGCTCTCCGATCTTTGAAACGGCCTTATTTGCAGCGTCAAGTTTGGACTTGATGGCATCCGGATTGTCGCCGGTCATGGCTGCTCTCAGATCCGCAACAGCAGACTCGATTTCAGAAATGACCTCCTTGGGCACCTTGTCCCTGTACTCGTTCACACTCTTCTCGATACTGTAGATGGTCGTGTCAGCATTGTTCTTCACATCAATCAGATTCTTCCTCTCTTGATCCTTCTGGGCATGCATCTCAGCCTCATGCACCATCTTCTCAATCTCGCTCTCTGATAGCCCACCGGATGACCTGATGGTTATCTGCTGTTCTTTTGCAGTTGCCTTGTCCTTGGCAGAAACTGTTACAATGCCGTTGGCATCAATGTCGAATGTCACCTCTATTTGTGGCATGCCTCTCGGGGCAGGGGGGATCCCCACAAGCTCAAATTCACCTAGGAGTTTGTTGTCCGATGCCATTTCACGTTCTCCTTGTAGAACTTTGATGCCCACCTGTGTTTGGTTGTCGGCAGCAGTAGAGAACACCTAAAAGTAAAAGGAAAATGAGTAGTGCTTGCTTAATTATTCAGTGATTTCTCAAAAACAGTAAATACCATATTCAGTAACCCAATAGACACTGCCATTTGGTACATTATATAGTTGATTACCTTATTTAAAAGTAATTTCACAGTTTAGCCCAAAAACAGGATCGGATTTAATAATTCCATGCATTTAAGGGACGAAATTGGGTAATATCTACGGAGTATATCACAATGATGATGGTGATGATACCTGACTTTTCTTTGTTGGGATGGTAGTGTTCCTGTTAATTAACCTTGTGAAGATCCCTCCCAAAGTCTCAATACCAAGAGACAACGGAGTAACATCTAGAAGAAGCAGCTCTTTCACATCCCCACGAAGAATTCCACCTTGGATTGCAGCTCCCATTGCGACCGCCTCGTCGGGATTCACTCCCTTGCTTGGAGACTTCCCAAATATCTCAGAAACAACCTCTTGCACCTTTGGGACACGGGTCATACCGCCAACAAGAAGCACCTCATCCACTTCGTTGACAGAAATACCTGCATCCTTCAAACAATTCTTGCAAGGATTCTTTGTCCTCTCGATTAAATGATTAACCAAAGCCTCAAATTTTGATCTGGTCAGAGTGATATTTAGATGCTTCGCCCCGGAAGCATCGGCAGTGATGAATGGCAAATTGATCTCAGTTTGAGATGTTGATGAAAGCTCTATTTTAGCTTTCTCAGCTGCTTCCCGGAGCCTTTGCAATGCAAGTCTATCTTTTGAAAGATCAATATTCTCACTTCTCTTGAAATCATTGACCAAGAAATCCAACAAGGCATTGTCAAAATCCTCTCCTCCCAAAAAGGTGTCCCCATTGGTTGCTTTTACCTGTGAAAATAATACATGATAAAATCATAGTTTAGAATCAACACATCAACAATAACAGACCTGGTAAAGTCCAATAAAGTGGATCTGGGGAAGGCTGTTTCCTAAAGACCCCATCTCAAAACAAAAGGAACACTCAAAAACCAGAATCTGAATATGGAAATGCAAAGGAAAGTTGAACGAAAGAAGCAGACTTAGGAGACCGGAGTCAACAGATAACATGTAATAATGCCAAAATGAAGGGTTAACATAGGCAAGCATTCACAATTTCATTTACCTCAAAAACACCATTGGAGATCTCAAGAATTGAAACATCAAAGGTACCACCACCAAGATCAAAAACTGCAACTAGACCCTCTTTGTTGTTCATGCCATAAGAAAGTGCAGCAGCAGTGGGTTCATTAATAATTCTTTCCACGTCAAGGCCAGCAATTCTTCCAGCATCCTTTGTTGCCTGCCTCTGAGCATCATTAAAATAAGCTGGAACAGTTACTACAGCCTTGGTCACAGTCTTGCCAAGATAAGATTCTGCAGTTTCCTTCATTTTGGTAAGAACAAAGGCTCCAATTTGACTTGCAGAATACTGCTGTCCATTTGCTTCCACCCAAGCATCTCCATTTGGAGCCCTCGCAATTTTGTAAGGAACCATCTTCATTTCCTTCTGTGTTTGGGGATCATCAAAACGTCTACCAATTAGACGCTTGGTCCCAAATACAGTGTTCGCTGGATTTGTGACTGCCTGACGCTTGGCTGGTGTGCCAACAAGTAACTCTCCTTTCTGATTGAAAGCAACTACAGATGGTGTGGTTCGAGCCCCTTCAGAATTTTCAATCACCTTGGGTGTCTACAAAACAATTGCACACATAATGAAAACCCAAAGATAGTTAACATCATTGCTTTAACAGGTGTTGCTTTTAAGTGAGCAAACAACAATTGGATTAACAACTGTATCGGTCTTACCTTGCCTTCCATTACCGCAATGCATGAGTTTGTTGTACCCAGGTCAATGCCAATAATATCATTCCCAGCAGATTTTGAGCTGCAAAAATTAAACAAACAGATTTCAAGTTACAAGAAATGAAAAATACACATTAAAAAAACTCCTGAAATGAATATAGAGTACCTAAATTGTCTTGCAAGGGATGCCCATCTAGCACCACCAACGGATGAGGGGTATGAAGGAATAGCTTTGGTACTAAACTGCATAATACATGTGAGCAGAGGTTCAGGATATGAATAACCAGCACAACAGCAAAACGTGATAAGAAGCTAGCTCAGAGAAATGGCCAATAGAGCCAGAAACGGTTGAAAAATAAGGGTTATGTCATTCCAAACAGTGAATCAGGCAAACAAATCGCGAACATCTATCGATCTCTATTATCTAAAATTCTGCTTTCGCCACTGAAGAAATGGATCGCAAATCTATGATACGAGCTAAATTACATCACGCACAGAGAAAACAAATTTTGAATCTAATCCGTGAAGCTATAAATGCGAATAAAACAGACATCCTTAACGTGTATGAGAGATCATATATGTGTAAAATCGGACAATATGTAAAAATAATCGACTTACAGCCTTGTAGGCCGATAGAGACGAGGTAGCCAAATCGCGACGGCGAAGGGATCTGAGCAAGACGGCGGTTGCCATTGGATCAGAGAATCGGCGGTGGCTGGAGATATCTGGGGTTTAGGGTTTTACAAATAGTTATGGGCGAGTGGAGTCGTGGAATATAAACAAGCGAGAGGTGAGGTATATTGGGGGGCAAGAAACTTCTAGATTATTGCATTTCACATTTAAATTAGTCTCCCGTCCTCGTTTTAATTAAAATTTTACTACGTATTTTTTTCTCATTTCAATAATTATTGTCTAATTATATATTTTTATTGATTATTTGATAAAATAAAATATTTTTCACCTACTGTTTTGTAGAACTTTGAGCGTAGTTTTTTAAAATTTTATTTTTATTTCTTATTAATGTACTAATTTGTAAATAAAATAATTTCAAAACCGTGAAATTTTACATCGTAATTCCCATTTTAAAATAAAAATAAGGACGGATAGACTATGAAATACTCCATTTGTCCACAAATAAACTTTCTGTTACGCGTTATGATGTTTGACTAAAATTATTTTAAAATCATTTTATATGAAAAATGGTGTAAAATTCAAAAATAAAAATTACATGTTAAAAAACTATATCAAAAGATCTACAAAACTAGAAGTGACACGACTATATTATTTTATCAAATGGGTAACGAAAATAGTCAAACAAAGTGAATAAAGTTTGACTCTGTGAGTAGTGAACGTGAAGTTTATTTGTGAAGAGGAGAGAGTAATAAAATATATTTAAAATCGTTTGCGGATCAACTTGTTGCACGTATTTCTTCTATCTCGACGAATTATACAATGACAATTCAACTAAACAAAATGAAGCACTCCTTCCGTCTCAAAATAATATTCCATATTCGAACAACGTATAAAATCTTGTGATTTTAAAATAAGTTTATTTATAAATTAATATAGAAATAAAAAATTTAAATCACATATTTTAAAACTATATTAGACATTTTTCTTATCAATAAGTTTTATTTATTTACATATTTTCATTGATTATTTGATAACAAACTTTTTTGTTCTTAAGGTTTTATTGCTACAATATTAATTTAATTGATAAAACAATATATTTTTGTCACTTTTATTACACTGTGTATATAACAAAAATGAACGTTATTTGGACTTTTTGGAATAAATATTTATCTTTATATATAAAATTTGAGAGTTAGACTACTATAACTGTGACATGTGGCATGCTTATTGCACAATTTTTTTGACATGTCAACAATTCATGTCACCAAGTATTATTTAAGGAATTAGTTAACAAAAAACTTATTTTATAGTAGAAATTAAATTTCGTATTTGTTGCACTTAAATTTTTGGGCATAATCGCGTTTATAAACTTTTATATCTTAATTCATTGTGGGAAAATATTTAAGTTATATAATATATTTTGAAATTGAAATAAAACTCATATTCAAGAATAATTATTCAAACAAATAAATTTATTCTAATAATCGATGGATTGATATGACTAAAAGAAATTACATATGAATATTTGTTTTTACTTTGAATTAATACTAATTGGAGAGATTTTCAAATATTAAAAAAAAGAAAAATAAATATGTAAAAGGAAATGGATTTTTATGGGCATGTTTATTTAATAAAACATTAATTTTATGCCATGTATGCTAAAAAAAATTCTAAGTCAAATAACAAGTACTCCGTATGTTCTAATTTAAAATTAGTATTTATGATTTTTAAATTATTATTTTCCATTACTAACTTTGTAAAAAATTATAGATGCGTGTCTCGAAATTATTATTTTCAATTAATAATTTGAAAAATGATCACTACAAAAAAGGCGCTATTGGCATGGACTTTGGCACGGACGACAATTTTAATTTTCCATGGCAATAACATTAGACACGGAATTTGGCACGGATGAAAAGACCTGCCAATTTCGAAGCTCCAAAACTTATGGCACGGAATTAAAAAACTTATTAAAAATTTGAAAAGGCACGGAATTACCCGTGCCGACAACATTCCAAACTCAAGGTTTGAAGGAAAACATCAAAGTTTATAGGCAGAGATAATTATGCGCCTTTTCAAATTTTTAATAATAGATATTGGCCACTTTGTCAAGAAACTGTCTGTACCTATATTTTTAAAAATAAAAAAATAAAAATTTTAATTTGGAAATTATGTAAAATTTAATAATAAAAGCATCTAATATTCACACCATAATAACAAAACTGATTGATTAAATTAAAATAAAATGTCAAATAATATTCATCACATCCAACAAATAATAAATTTCCATACCACATGCATCTCACAAAAAAATAACAGTTGCAGATTATCATGATTTAAATAACTGTTAACATCCGAATTATTAGAATTATGTCCTTCATATGAATTTTGGATAGAGATAAAAGTTGATTGAAATACGGACATGTGAGACATGAGTGGTTGGGAGGCATAATAAAAGGCAAGGGTTAGATGTTGATTCAGAAGTAGGCTCGGACTTCGGGGGATGGGATGCATTGACGGCCGAAAGGAAAGTAGAACTGCAAAAACAATATAATATAGAAAAAGGAAAAAATTCGAAATAAATAAAATCATACCCAAAATAGGTTCCACCAGCGCTGACAGATTTCATTCGGAGCCGTGCATGGTGTGGGTATACGAGGCCCCGTGAAAATATCCCTTATTTATGCCCTTTATTTTTCACAAATTATTTAGTTTATTTTTCCGAACTTGGAAAGGAAACTAGAACTGCAAAAACAATATAATATAGAAAAAGGAAAAAATTCGAAATAAATAAAATCATACCCAAAATAGGTTCCACGAGCGCTGACAGATTTCATTCGGAGCCGTGCATGGTGTGGGTATACGAGGCCCCGTGAAAATATCCCTTATTTATGCCCTTTATTTTTCACAAATTATTTAGTTTATTTTTCCGAACTTGGAAAGGAAACTAGAACTGCAAAAACAATATAATATAGAAAAAGGAAAAAAATCGAAATAAATAAAATCATACCCAAAATAGGTTCCACCAGCGCTGACAGATTTCATTCGGAGCCGTGCATGGTGTGGGTATACCAGGCCCCGTGAAAATATCCCTTATTTATGCCCTTTATGATTTCTAAAACCGATTACTCGTTGAACGAAAAAATAGGAAAAATAAACTAAATAATTTCTGAAAAATAAAATCGAAAGGAAAAAAAATATTGGAAAAAATTACCCCTTCAGATCGGACTTGGTGATGAACCATGGGCGCTTGGTGTACGACACAACGCTCTCTTTTGTTTGAGGAACCACCGCTTGTTCTCCTCGCTCGTCGCCTTCGCCCTCAGCCATATCCTTATCGTCACCTTGCATATTGAAAAAGGATTGCGGGGTATTCGTCTGCGAAGGAGATTCTGACGACCCTCTAGACATCGAACGACGGAAGCTACCGGGCCACGAAGACTCCCCCGAAAAGAAGTGTTTCTTGAAGAAGACATTGTTAGAAAGGGAGAAGAGATGGATCGGAGATGGCTGAGGACGGGTACGTGTAAGGGCGGATGAGAATATTGGCGACGTTGGAGGAGAACGGGGAAGAGCTCGGGAGTTTACGAAAAATGAGTCTGATCGAATTAAAGGGTTTTAATATTTTTTAACTTAGGCACGGTTTTTTGCATGGGTTCCACCGTGCCTATAGCGCACCCTGACACACTATAATTACACACATTTTAGGACTATATATATCTGTGTCATATAACGAATTACCCTATCATCCACACTCACTGGGGAAATGAGATACATGTTTAACAACTAACAAGATATAAAGACCATTTATTGAAGTTTTGAAAATTTATTCATTACTATAATATGCAATCCCCAATAGCCAGATATTGCAATATATATATATATATATATATATATATATATATATATATATATATATATATATATATATATATATATATATAACAATAACGAAATGTGAAGCTAAATACATATCTGATATTGATTCTGGAATCTTTAAAATGAAATTGAACCATTTAGAGATAGACATAAAATAGGACTCATAGTTGGTGAAGTAATTAGAAGTAATATTAATGTTTGCAATATTAGTTTCATTTAAATAACAAAGTTGTAGTAGTTTGGACATTCAATTTAAAATGTTGTCATTTGAATGTAATAATTTTATGTATGTTTATACACCGTTGACTTTCAAAAGAGAAGTTTGCCTCATGCACATATCTCATTATCGTTACATTAAAAAGAATAAACTTTAATCGCTCGAGTCAATTGATCGTATGATATATTTAAAAGTTCCTAATAAATACTCGTAATAAAGATAAATATCTTAGATTTTATGAGTCTGTAACTTGATTGATGATGCATTGTTCATATGACATAGATGAGCCTAGATCTCTATATATAGAGAATGGTAAACACATAAATATTTTTTTTTTTGCCAAAAAATTTGTTGAGAAGACATTGTTTAATGAGAATGATTACATAATATACAGAAGAATAAACTTGGAGGTCACCACATGCAATCATAATATTGAGTTGCCATCACTTGCCAGCCACCCCGCACCACCAATTGTTGCCCCATCCATGTCACCTATTCCCAAATAATGAAAAATAGTTTTTTGGAAAAAATTCATCTTCCCAAATAAAAAAAGTTGGTGCAATTTTTTTTATAAAATATATTTCCCCACCAAAAGGCCCATCTTACTCTATACAAAGCAAAAAGAAGCTGCTACAGTGTTCCCGCCAAAACAGTGTAGCACAGTACTGGATTGCATAGTGTTGGGCCTATATTTTGGAAATTATGTAAAAACAGCCCAGAATAATTTTTTTTGCCAAGATTCGGCCCACACTAATATAATAAACCCAATATAAAAAACCCTAATCCACAACACAGCCTCACTTCGCGGCTATAAATACATCAAAAAACAATGAAAAAGTAAATTAGATTTTCAACAAATTACAATCTTCCAATACTATATCCTGTAGCTTTTCCTTCATCCAAATCAATGGCAGCTCCAAGTGACTGGTGCTTCCTCAGAAATGTAAACACCAAGACAAAACAATGTGCAATTAAAGTTCGTGTGGTTCGAGCATACCGATGTCCTCCACATGCTTCTCGCAGAGAAACTTTAGAGATTCTTTTTCACGACCAGCAGGTTTTTTTAGATTTTCAGTTCAATATATTTAAATGTTTGTATGAACATATATATAAATATTAAAGTTTATTTTAACAGATACATATATAAATATTACTCTAAATGTATATATAAATATAAATATAAATATATATATATATATATATATATATATATATATACGTGATTATTCAAAGAGCAAAATATAAAAACTATAAATGTAAATATAAATAAATATAGTTATATATATACACCTAAATATACGAAATATAAATAAGTGTAGACATACATATATGTATATATTACTCTAAATGTATATATAAATAAATATATAATATATATTAATATATATATATTATATATATACGTGAATATTAAAAACGTCATGTCTGCTTCAACGGTGCTGTATCCCGTAGCGCCACGCCAGTATACATTGAATTCTTTGTAACCTCAAAACGCCAGTTATACCCTGAAAATAACAACATATCAATCATTGTACCAGAATTGGCGCATGCTCTATATAACAGCCTGAGGACATTTTTAAAAGTTCACAGTTCATGAAGAATTTGCATTACTACTATGTTCACACACCCACCCACACAGTCGTATTATTGAAAACAAACTTCAAGTTCATTTTATAATACTAAACATATACATATATCAGGGAACACGTATGCATGCACAGATTCCACAATATCTTATTTCAAAATATGACCCACTGTTGAGAGAAGAGAGAGTTTACAAAATACGTGACTTCACTGTGGAGGCAAATTTTCAACCCTTGAAAACGGCTGATCATCCATTTATCATGAAATTCATTTCGTGTACCAAGGCTGACAAAATTCACTCCA